CGTTTCCCTGCCAGTCTCCTATTTGGATTCTCGTCGAATTCTCGTCGAAGCGCAGCTGTGCAATTATAAATCACATAACAAATTTCCACATCTGAAACAATGGATTCTGCAGAGATGTCCGTGCGCCGTTCGTCATTGGGGTACAAGATTAGGTCCGTACTTTTCATATCGACAAGAGCAGCTAGTTAGTCTCACATTTCAACTACACTCGTTCCAACAGACGCGTGGTCACGAGCGTTTACCTCACAACCGTAGTTTTTGTGTGGAGTTTGACTGTCATCACGATGAACTTGACCGGACGCCACGTTGTTTTTGCTGACCTCCCGCTTGTCGGCAAGACCATCACGTCCGTCGTCCTCGTCATCGCACTCGCGCAACTTTGCGTTGCAATTCCTCCTCTTTTCAGTCTCGTCATGGAGATGTTCGTCCGCAGAGATGACAAGAATGCTAGTACCGCGCAGGCGGAGATGCCTGAGCTGCAGAGCGAGAACTATTCTGATACGGTATCCAAAAGTGCAGTTGCTACTGAGAAATAAGCTTGAGGACGGTGTCGGTAATGTTCCTGTTTCAAGCTACATATGAAGAACTCGCTTTTATACATCAAGCTCCTGTATTAATAATTGACTCCTGGCCGATTCCGATGTTATATGTATAGGTTGATATTCTGCATTCCGCGTGTATCCTCATCCCTCGAGGTTCGCCTCAGAAGTCTTAAATGCAAGTTCTCCTTCGCCCGCCTGCGATCAATATTTTTTATCCTCACTAAGCATCCCAACTGCAGCCGTGGTGCAGGTCGGGTCTTCCATTTCGATTCAAGCCCTCCCAGGGTCTAATAATTCCGTTCCGTTAAACGCAGACTCAGGATTACTCGGTGCGGTCCGTCCTGAGTCGGAGGCACCGGTCCGAGCCGAGCTCGTTTCCAGTTGAAGCAGCATGGAGCCGTGGAGGCTCTGACCGATCGACGTATCTTCTAGCGTCCATACAGACTCAGTCAGGGTGCGGATGTACGTGCGGGCATCCCGTCGTAAGTTCCTGTGACTTTTGTTTTTACCCTCGTGACCTCGTTTACTGTCGAAGCAACTCTTCCACATATCATTTGAGAGCTTTTTGGGCAGCCTGCATGCACATCTTCGCTACTACTTTTCTTACTCGTGACTTATCTCCGAATATTCAGCGCTTCCATTGGTCCACCACGGGCCGCAGGAAGTTGAAGCAGAGTCGAGCTTAAAAGCCATGTCTGGGAACCAACGCGGAGCTTGTGGTAGGGCCTACACCTCCTCTGTTTAAAATGTTTGGCGCTGGGCTAGTTTTTCTGGGTGTCGCGTTATTTAATGGTATTCTTGCGCAGTCCTCCAGCAGCCCTACGGTTGATGTGGGATATGTGACGTACCTCGGCAACCAGTCTTACCCGAATACGGTGGCCTATCTTGGGATACCTTATGCCGAACCTCCTGTGGGCGATTTGCGCTTCCGTGCAACCGTCCCACTGAATACAACGCGTGTAAGTGAAGCGGCTGGCGGCCAGGTAGTAAACGCGACATACTATCCGAACTTTTGCATCCAAGGAACGACCGGTGGTACGTTTGGCTATCGAATCCAGATGTTGGATGGTTACTGATGAGACGATGTACATAGCGGGCGATGCAGGAGGAGCAGGATCGGAGGATTGCTTAAATGTGAATATCTATGCACCCTATGGTGCCCAAGAAGGCGACAACCGTAAGTTTCGAAAGCGAGCTAAACCGTTTATCGTATCCTCTGATCGTTCGTAATTACTACAGTGCCTGTCCTTTTCTATATTCATGGCGGAGGTGATGTCATACACAAGGACTGTCGTATCTGTGTGCTTATATAGGTTCATTGCAATGACAGGATACGTCTACGGGAACCCTCGGAATTGGCCCTTTGATGGGTGGATCCATCAAAGCCCGAATGTCGTCATCGTGTCTGTCTATTACCGTCTCGATTCGTTCGGTTTCCTTGCAGCCCCTGAGTTCACCGATCCCACTTATGGCGATTTTAACGCCGGATTTTTGGACCAGATTCAAGCCCTGAAATGGGTCAAGTCGTACATCAGCAAGTTCGGCGGGGACCCAACCAAGGTTACAATAAACGGACAGAGCGCTGGCGGTAGTTCGGTGGAACTACACATGGTGGCCAACGAAGGCGAACAGCTGTTTTCCAGTGGAATCGCTCAGAGCGTCTTCAGAACACCTCTAGCCACCCCCGAGGAACAGCAGGTAACTGAGCGCTCGACAGCATGACGGTACAGCGCTTGTATCTAACAGCTATCGCTAGCCTCTCTTCCAATTCTACGCGTCATATGCAGGATGTGGGACGGGCACTGTGGCCGACCAGATGGTCTGTCTTCGTAATGCGAGCGTCAGCGCGCTTGCGCGGGCACAGGATGCCGCAGTGCAGGGAAAATTGTATGCATCGTTCTTCGAGCTTTATCACAAAGCTGACGTCGTGGTAGCTCCGGACTGTACAACTCATTCCATCCCGTCTTGGATGGCGTTTTATTCACCGGATACCCGACGGAAATGTTCCAGCGCGGGGAGTTCACCCACGTACCGCTCATTGTCGGGTACACCTGCTCCACTGTTTCTCCTAATAGAGTCTGACACCTTTAAACTCATCTTGCTTGGCATATTTAGTTCGACTTCAAACGAAACACTGTCTGGAGGGACGAACATATCACTAGCGCTTGAAGAGTACTTCCCGTCACTTACCGAAGCAGACATTCAGGAATTCGTGTGGCTTTATCCAGCAGATGAGTTTGACTCCCCGAGTCAACAGTTTCAGGTCGCTACAGGCGAACCGGACGTGATTTGTGGTGTAAGTAATTATCTAATATCGGGAGTGGGCGTTGACGAATGCTGACGTTATCATGGTTATCGTCTAGCGCGAGGCCATGGGCGGGCCATCTTCAATCTATTCCAATACATGGACATACCGTTACAACACACCTAATCCGACCAGTGGCAGCGACGTCGTGGCCCACGCCGCTGAGAATTGGATGATGTTTGACGGCACGAACACAGGGTGAGTCCACTGCAAATGACGAGAACTTGACACACCCGTTGACACAGGCACAACATCGTAGATATAACGGGACCACCACATTCACGCCCCAGACTCCCGCCGAGCTCGCGTTCGCATCGGAGCTGATCGCCTACTGGCTCTCGTTTGTGCGCTCCGGGAACCCGAACACGTACAAGCTGGACATGTCCCCGACGTGGGAGCAGTATGCGGAGACGGTTCCGATCCGCATGGTCCTGATGCAGAACCCGCAAAACTTGACGAATGTTAGTGGTAGTTACATGGAGAGGCAGCCGGACCTGGAGACGGTCAGGTGTCTGTTTGCGATCAGCATGGTAGAGGCTTGTGAGAATTGACCCGCGTCTGAATTTCTGTGGGACTTGGACGGGTTTCTAGTTTCTCGCGATTCAATGCGTGTTAGTCGTTTACTCGAACTGTTGCGTAGCGCTGTTGGGGCGAATCGAATGTGCAGAATTGTCAACAAATATACTGCACTGCTGCTGGTACCGTCGTCGACAAGTCATGCTCGCAGGCCTTACTGCCACTTGCGTCTAACAGGCCTTCTGATATGATGACGGGCAGTTATGTAATATGGTATAATATTTAGTATGATACTAGATGGCTTGGGAGGACACCTGGGAACGAACGTTGAAAAGAATGTTCACTATTTCAATAGCCGAATCTGACTGCACAGAAATTGCCGTCAGGTTTCTCTTACGAATAATGATTGTCGTCACAAAAAGGAACCCCACACGGGAAAAACCCCCTAAAGTCCATGAAGGCGAGCCTGTATAAATAGATAAACTTCACCGCCTATTGTGAGGTCGAAGTCTTCGGATTGCGATCAATCCTTAGGTAAGGGCGGGATCGAAGGACGAAGCATCCAGGTAAGCCTTCGTAGCGGCGCGCTCTGCGAGACGCATTCAGAAAACTCAATAGCATTCAGCGTGATGGGCGAAGAGGCATTACCTTGTACGGCGTGTATCGGGCATGCAAGAGGAGCGAGTCAGCCCTAGATAAAGAAAGACTGATTCAATATCAATTACACAATCCGGAGGAAAGTGCGCACCAGGTGGGGTTTTCGACAGTAGACCGCATGTGTGTGAAAGTGTTGAATGCCGCTTGGCCAGTGGTATACCCGTCTGTGTACAAGAGTTAGTCGGTGTACAGTGATCGGCCAGTCGGGAGAGATGCACTGACAGCCACTGGCGCCTACTCCCCCGAATGGCAGGCCCTCGGCTGTGAGCATGTAGTTTAAGCATTTTGCTACGCACAGCATGTAGTCCCTATACACACCTTGGCAGCCCATGATGACCTCATTAATAGATGCAGTTCCGCTCAGCGTGTTGTTCAGAACTGCAGCATATAAGACATCGCTTGAAGCGTTTCCGAGTAATTGTGCGACTTACCTTTCTTCTTGAAATCTCGATTGCGCGTGAAGACATACAGTACCAAAGGGTTATCTCTGTAAGCGCTCAACTGCCGGCTATGCGGATTATTCCACGACAAGACGCTCACCTCTCGTTGATAAACTCGATCGCAGCATCTACGTCCTTGACTGGCACGACAGGCAATATCGGGCCGAAGATCTCCCTTCAAAACCACATCAATAATCACCTGTGCAGAATAGTAAAGAAAGACTATCGATCGCTTACTCGCTCATCAATGCATCGTCGCCCTTCACGTCTCGCACGAGCGTCGGCGAAACATACCGCTCTGATAATTCGACCTTGTTACCAAACACGACCGTCCCTTTCGTATTGTCAAGGAGGCGCTTGAGACGCAGTACATGTCTCTCGTTCACAATGCGCGATAGCATGCCGGACTTCAGCGGGTCTGTTGGGTGAAGCTCCTCGTAACTATGAAAATGCGTAATAGTCATCAGCATAGCTATCATGATGGGACTGACCAGAACGTACGCTTGCTTTAGCGCCTCAACAAACGTGTCCTGGAAGTCCTTGGGAACGAGAACATAGTCTGGCGAGATGCAAAGCTACCCAGGGCATAAGCGCGAATATTTCACGATTTACAGGAACTCATCGCACTTGGCCCGAATTAACTAGCCTGCCCCACATAATTCGCTTTGCGGCTACTTTGACGTCACAGTCGGGATCGATGACACAAGGGCTCTTCCCTGAAGACGACGAAAATTCTCAAACTTGTTTTCCTTCTGATAAAGATGATACCAACCTCCAAGCTGGGCGTTGTAATGAGTATATAGATTTCGAGCTAAGATATCTGTTACATACCTCGAGAGTGACAGGCGTAAGATGCTTTGCTGCAGCGGTGGCCACAATTCTTCCAACATTGCCGTTCCCTTCCGAGAAGATTAACTAAGTCACATTTTCAGGTAGAGCTAGCGTACCGGTATAGAGAACTAATATCCATATAATTGTGGATAATCAATCAGCAGCGATTTTGAATTTTTACTAAGCAAAACGCACTATGATTGAAAGGCAGTTCGAGAATCTAATAACGGGTTAAACGCCGGAGTAGTTCTAGAGAGCTGTGCTTACCTTTGTCGTTTCTTCAACGCCACCATTCACAATCTCATACACTTCCGTGTCGAGATACTTAGGAAGTAGCTCGGTAAGGAGAGCAGCCACTGTCGTGCAGAGCTCCGAGGGCTTGAGGAGCACTGCATTCCCGGCAGCAATGGCAGCCGCCTAGATGAAGTTCGCCGGTCATGGCCAACACTGGCATAAACTCTAGAAAGTGACTCACAAGTGGACAAAGCAACAAATAGACGGGATAATTGAAAGGGCTGATCAAAAGCACAACACCTTTCGGCTCCTTACGAATGTGTGGTGACATCGAGAACCAAAAGAGCGAGAAGGGCGGTTTTTCGGTGGATGCCCATTTCTCTACATTATCATATGCCTTCTTGACTTCAATGAGAACACCGTTTAGCTCGAGGCTAGATAGGTAAAGTTTGTTTGTGTGAGTAAAACCATTGAACCTGACCGAATTCTGATGCGTACAAGTCCGTCTCATTGGCTGGCCTCCCAAGATCAGCGAGCAGCGCATCTTTGAAGCGCTGTAGGTTGTCCTGGACAAGGTGGCATAATTTAAGGAGCTGGGTCTTGCGAAATGCTATGGGCCTCGTCTTTCCCGACCGGAAGGCTTTCTTCAACCCTTCGTGGACCTAAGACAACGTGTTACGATGCTGAAGCGAGGTGCGAGGTCATAGGGGCATACCTGGGGTATCTTCTCCAGAGGAGTGTATAGAGCATTAAGGTCACTCATGGTGTGGAATCGAACGAAGGTATAGCAAAACGAAGAGAAAGGGGTGATGTATAATATAGAATCCCAGCATCGCTGCAGATTCAACCTCTAACTTGATTGCCTCATCTCATACACCCGTGCGAATAGGGCTTGCCGCCGTGTTGGAACAAGCCAGACGCATATTTTTAATCAAGATATTTACTATGAGAAAGCTCACTTACTTTACAAAGGTTTCAATATGACTATATAGATATGGATGTTTCACTAATCCGCATTCAAGGTACATAAATATGTTCTTTGATATGTTCTCCGTCTCACCGCGTTCTTTATAAAAGATCATGTTCATAGAACACACATTGGATGTCTTCTGAATTAACATGTTCAGCTATAAATATCAGTCACATCAGTCACTGCAGCATATGATGAGCCGGCTGTCGGTAGCAGCCGGTAATGATCGGCCACAGGAGCTCGAGCACCAGTTTGTAACACCAGATGTTGCGAATTAAAACAGGGACTGATACATGATATGCCGAGTCACTGACTCGGATGTGTTTGTGGCTGACCGGGCGCTAAATTTGGACAAGCATGATATCAGTCCTATTCCCATATTGTGGACAATCATACAATGACGGTATTGCACCTCACCTTCAGCTTCGGATTTTATGATGAAGCACGTATATTGTCCATTATACAATGTGCAGCTAAGAACAAGAACTGCCTGAACGAAGGGATAGTTCGACATACCAATCTGTGCTCGGGCTAAAGGCTTCGTAGATGTAAACGTCGACTTCCAGAAGTTATTCAAGTTGTCTTTCCATAGAACACCAGGCAAGCATAGTGCTACGAGTCGTTCCTGCCCCATGACTGCTTGAGGGCTACTAGTAGCATGCGTATGCGTCATATAAGGATCTCGACGTATCCTGGACATGTTCACGAAAGCTTCGTCGAGTCAACGCCAAGTACTATCTGCCGTTGATATCATCAATGTGCGGAAGAGCTTCAAGAGCGCCAAAATACCCGGCTCATCGCAGCGATACAAAAGCGCGTTAGACGAGGGCGTCCCGCGATGGCTGGCGGCAGCCTAGCGCGTGCTTCAATGAACAGGACGCCTACGCAAGACGTGTCTCACCATCTCCATTGTCATTGTATACTACTTCTGCTCCTGCACACGGTTTCCTCGGGTCAATAAGCAGCACAGAAGAAGTACCAAGCAAAGCGACCTATCTTGCGGAGACGAACTTGTCCAACCCGAAACCTTCTGACGTGGATGCCATGCCAATAGATGAACCAAAGACTCGTAGCGTAACCTTGGGGATTAAGAGAAGGTTGCTTGAATGTGTCGACGGGAAGGAGCTCTCGGACAACGCAAATATGAGAGGTACGCCTTGTCGAAACTTGGTGATGCTTCCTCCACTTCAATTTACTGGTCTGTATCGCTGGAGGTGGTGTCATACGAAGCGACACGCAAATTTTGGCGAAATTCCAGGGACCCTTTACCCTACGGCTTCCGGTAGAAATTTGGGAACAAATAATCGACCTCGTGGCGACAACCGACTTCGTTTCGCGCGATCCCCGACACGACCTCGAACATTGCTCGCTAGTTTCTAAAGAGTGGACCCCTCGCTGCCGCTTTCACCTCCGGCAATGGGTCACCATCTATGATAAAAAGCAAGTGTCCCGCATGCTAAAGAGAATACGAGCGAGCCCAGGTCTTCAGAATGTCGTGAAATACGTGCGTCTTCACGAGGGAAACGCTCTCAGCTCTTTCGCGGCAGCCATGACGAGGAAGCTCCCTCAGGTGGAGGTGTTACATATCAACTATCTGGAAGTGGGATCTGTTCACGCGAATGCGGCTGACGTATTCTTGTACCTGACAGCATTCACTTCCATCACACATCTTATCCTAGGCTCGCATTTCCCCTCGGTGACGGTCTTCGCGCGACTTCTCTGTGCTCTCCCCAGGCTATCCCGGCTAACGTGCTCTGGCATCACTTTTGCGACTCGTGGATATGCACAGGGCGCCGTCATTCCACCTCAACAGTTTACGCTTACTCATTTCGACGCAAACGACCGCGACCACAATCTCGACGTTTTCGATTTCTTAATTAGCAGCTTGATCATTTCGAATACACAGTATATTGGACTTGACTTGCAGATATTATTTTACAATGATCCGGGCTCGTTCTGCGATCGCATCCAACGAATGCTCGTGACAGCGGGTCCATCGCTCACCAAAATCCATGTCAATTTTCACTTTGAGATTCCCCGCGCGTTTGTTGGTATGTAAGATTTATGTGCATTCATAACTTACCGCGCCGACATCATTGGGCTTGCAGACAACGTGAACTTAAGATACAGCGTAAAACTAGAGGTCCTGTCTCTCACTTTATTCAGGCAATCGGCTGCGCAGTTAGTCAACATATACGCTGTCATATCGCAAGCTTCGCCATCAAGTCTTCGCCAAGTTCTCCTTGTATTCCCTGATATCCGGGACCCAGAGCTCGATGAAAAGGTTTCTACACAGATCGACCAGCTTTTGTCTACTCCACACTATCGGATCCTCAGCACAGTTCGCATCGAAATACGCAGAGGTCATGTTCAGAACAAGAACTTGGAAGATGCCTGGATAGAGCTCCTTTCTACTCGTTTTCCTCGATTATGCGCGCGGGGAGTCCTTCAGTGCGCACATTTTGCTTAATTTTGCGACAAGTGCTCACGTCGCTGATACTGAACAGATGCTGCGTTAGCATAGTTGAGCAGTATGACAGGCCTCCTTACAAGCCTTCATTGCCCTCAATCGCGGTTCCTGTTGATTATAAGCCGATGCAAGCCTTTTGTTTGGAGAAATGTTAGTCAATAGGTTTGTCTTTGCTGTTCCTTCACGTCGAGATTCAAGCATGGTTTAATGAATGAGTATCAGCTCAATTCTAACCCTAACCCTCTACTGGGCTTAAAATCTCAACCCCAATTCATTGAAAGGAAAATCCATATCTAACATATCATAGTGAGGAGACGGAAATAGCCTGCTCCTTACCAAAATGTGCAAATTTCAGGGCCCTTCCATTTAACCCTCTAGCATGAATACGCTGTTCATCTCCTGGCATCACATCCAACGCATTGTCACTCCATATAACCCTGCTCTCCAGACTGTTGTCGTTGTCATCAACACTGAAGATCAGCCCCTTCACGGGCTTTTCCACACTGATATTAATTTTCTCCCCCTCGATACGAACACGAAGGCCGGGGTCGGGGGCGACGACATGCCGATAGGGCTGAGGCCAGTCGGTGTAGCGCGCAAGAGTCTCGCCAGTTCGAGGATCCACGAGGCGAGCTCCTACAACGACAGAATGGGATGCTGCCACAGAATCACCGGTTGAGACTGGTGGACAAGGGCAGGGGATGGCCAGAAGCTCGGTCGATTGGTTCGGGAGAAGTGTGACCTGCTGCGTTGTTTCGTGCACCCAATCTGTATTCAGATCTACGCAGTGGAGCACCAGGTTTGTTGTTCGAGCTTCGAGGGTGCTGTTTGCAGCCCATACCTCAATGTTCGCTCCAATGGATCTGAACGCGCCAAATTCATAGAACTGCAAGACAGGATGAGTTCAACTGTCTGGAGCACCGTAGGCGGGGGACAAACCTGTTTAGGACGGTCGTTATTTCTGTTCTGGATCACCTGTCATCGGATATCTCAGATGCTATCTGGGCATGACATTACGATCGGATCCTTACATGACGAGATATTCCGATGGACAATGGGGCGAGAGCTCGTGAGATGGTGTAGTAAACGGGCTTTGCGCGGAGCTATCATAAAGCAATGGGTTAAGTTGGCTTTGGTTAGGGTTGGTACGAGTATACTCACGAAGTAGTCTGCGATGGCCCAAGACGTAAC